CGCGCCCCCGGGCGGGCCCAGCCGCCCCCCCCCCCCCCCCCCCAGCCCCGGTGGGGCAGGAGAAGCGAAGTCCCCTCCCCGCACTGGGGAAAGGCTGCCAGGGTCTTTAAAAAGACACGAAAACCCATCGCCCGCCACTTTGAAACACACACACACACAAAAAAAAGCAGTTCTGAAAACCCATTACAAAGCAGAGGTCGATATATAAATGCCACCCCCCCACCTCCCTACTCACTGAATAACTATCCCCAGGAAAAGAAAAAAACCAACACTTAAATACAACTTCATAAATATTAAATCATGAAAAAAACTGAGACTTGGTTTTCTTCCCTCCTGGTTAAAAAAAAACAAACAAACAAATATGCGTTAGGAGGGAAGATAAGAAACAAGTGTCTAATATAGACAGTTACTTCAGCTATAAAGTGTAACCTGCTGGATCGAGCCAGAGGTACAGGGGAGGGAGAAGGGGAGATCCAGCAGAGACGGCGCGGGCGTCCCCGAGCCGACCTTCCTCCCGCTCACGGGTCTCGTCGTGACGTTAATCGGTGTCGAAAGGTTTGAGAGCCCTTGAGAACCAAACAGTTTGTGAACAGCGACTGTCCTCGCGCTCCACCAACCCCCTGGGGATCCGGATACCCGGAGTAAGGCCATTCTGCTTGGTCTTTTGGGGGAAAAAAAAAAAGAATTTAAAAAAATGCTTTTTCTTAAAAAATATCAGCTTGTGTCACATCCACTTTAAAAGTTGGAAGTGGAAGATGGGAAGAGACTTGGCTCTGAAACATCAACTAAAAATCCCTTTCTACACCACTACATTCTTCGTTTCCTTAGCAATCATTGCTAATTAGTATAGAAACCCCTTGCACTACCGCAAGGGCAAACTTTAAATTACTTTTTTTTTTAATATATATAAAAAAGAACGGAGGATTCTAACCCACCGGGAACACGGGGAAGAGTCACTTCATTTCTTTAAAAAAAGCATTTAGTGAAAATAAAGATCAGTCCAACATCTGCTCAGAGATCTCTAGAGAAGCGTCTGCAGCCGGCATGGGCCAGGCGTCTCCGCAGGGAAACGGCAGCAGAACAATCCCTCCTTTCAGCTTATTGTTTTGCTTAAAATTGGACTCAAGATGCCCCGTACTTTTGTGGAGGCAGAAGTCCATCCCATTTATGCAGGGATCTCGGTTTCAAGCCGCCGGGAGCAGCGGTGTCGACCACGGCTGCGACACAGGCGAGATATCAAAAGGGAGCTGAGCTATAAAAACGGGAAGGGTTTTGCACGTGGTGCCCGCAGCAGGACGGAGGGCAGGGGAAGGGAACGGAGCGGGCTGGGTTTGGTCCGTTTGCTTAAGAAATACTTTAAGCGAAAAAAAGTGTGCCCCTTACAAAGATCTCCCTTCACCTGCGACTCCCTGCTTGGCGGGGAAGGGATGAAAAGGCTTAGTTTAAAAACCGGGGAACAAAGCAATCCAAAACCTCCCTGACGTCTTAAAAGCTTCGCACGTTCAGAGTCCTCCGAGCAACACAGCGCAGCACCTAGCTCTCCTCGGCACTGTCTCGGGGCGATGCGAGATTGAAAACTGAGGCGGCTGCGGCAGCCAGGGGCTGCTGGCGGGGGAGAGGAGCTCGTCCACGGTCAGTACAGCTTCTGCTCCCCCTTTCTGCCTCTCTCACATGAGATACTTTATGGTGGAACACTGGAAAAAAACCTATTTATTAAAAAAAAAAATTACTATATTGCGGGACTAAAAAGAAGTGATATGACTGAATTCAGAGAAACATTTAAATTAAAAACTTGTTTAAAATACAAAATAAAACCACATTGCTCTGTCGCAAACCGCCCCAACGAGGCTCTAATGCCCGTTTCCCCCCAGTGACTCCAAAGAGTTGCCCGTTCTCGCAAGGTTTGTGGTGTCGGCATCGTAAGCAGCTAACTCCCTGACAGTCAGATCCCTTTTCCAGAGGGCTTCAGCCCACACGGAGCAGTTCCTCCTCCTCCTCCCAACAGCCGGCTTTGCTCCCGCCAGGCTTGAAAGGAAGGAGGACAGCAGGGGCACAGTGGTGGGCTCTGCTGTAAGGAGACTTCCAGGTGTCCAAGGCTCAGCTGTGCTGGCTCGGTCTTTGTTAATACTATCCCCCTAAGCGTAGCCCAGCCTTCCAGCTTTTAGGTTTCTGTCCAGATAAGATTTCTTTAAAAAAAAAAAATAGTAAGTCAGCAACAGGGGCTGAACGTTTGTCAGACTCCACAGACCACGCAGAGCACAGAACAATCTGCTTCCATGGCGGCAGTCTCCGTGTTGCTTCACTGTGAAGAGAAGAGAGGGGGAGATGCTGGGGAGAGGTCTGCCTTCCTCTGAGGAAGAGCAGCAGGAGGTCTCCTGCCTGGTCTTCCCCTAAACCTTCTCCACCCTGGGAGAAGCAGAGCAGAGGGGGCTGTTGAGTCCAGGCTTACCCCAACCACCATCTTACATTAAAACAGGAGGGTCTGTAAGTATTCATCATCCGCCGCGGGGACAGCAAGATGAGCCTGGTCAGCTTCACCCCGTTTTATCTCTGCCATCAGACCCACTCTGGGCCCTCAGGAAAGAGGAACGTCTCTGCTTTGCCGCCTGCTTATCTAACTTAAGGCGGTTGGGGCAGCAGATTATCACTAAGAGCACGAACGGTGCCTAGCACAAGGCAGGCTGAGCCTTCGCATACCAGAGGAGGATGAAGAACATCTGCTCCCGCCCTGGCAGACTCACACATCCCGCTCAGTGTCCGTGTTCCCAGCACACGTAGGGACCACATAAACCCCGCAATTCTCCATCCACCTCCAGGGCCGCTCTTTTCCTCCTAAACAGGGAAGTACTTACAAAGCTTATCTCTGTCTCTTGCAGGTCTTCGAGCTGCTCTCTCAGCTCGGCGGAGCGCTCGGGTATGGAAGGCCCTGGGGAGCCGCTGGGGAAACAGAAGGGGGAGACCTGTAAAGCAGTTTTTAGAAGTGAGCTGTCAGTAAGTCACATCTCCAGGGCTGCCCTGCTGTACCCAGCCAACGGGAACATCCCAGCACAGCACAGAGGTGTTTGTTAGGCAGGCTTAATATGGAGGCACAGGCAACACGATCCCTGCTGGGCCAGACACCCAAAACACCACCTAGAAAATCATCCCCCCTAGTCGACGCGACTTCAGACGTTAGAAACAAGGATCTTTTGTCCAGCCAAGCAGCAGTGTCTCTTTACGGAAGTCTTCAAGCACCTCATCAATATAGAAATGGTCCTGGGTGAAAACAGTCCAGGGACAAAGAAACCACGAAGCACCAGAGCTCAGCGAGTCTCAGCCCTTCCAGAGGCACCCTTGTTTGAAAAAGCCCCTGGCAAACCTTTTACAAACCTTTTACGCTCTGAACACAGGCTATAGCCTGACAGCAGGATATAGAACATGAGCACGCTGAGCGCCTGATAGGATACATCACCAAGGAGAAAAGGTGGGGCATGGAAGAACTTGCTTTACTCTAATACCCCGTTATTTTCCCACTTCTTTCACGATCCTACAGCTAAAAGGCTGCAACCTGCTGGCTGAGGAACTCCAATTCCCAGCTTGGGTCTTGCCCTGCTTCCTACTAAGGATATGGTGACCACAGCTTCTCTCCTTGCCCCTGGAGTGAGAGGCCAAGTCTGTGAGTCCATATTTCACATAGGCCAAGCGGTCAGGGCTCTCCGGTGCGCTGGCAACTAACAGGAGAGGTTTCAGGACTGCCTACGGACAGCATGACCCGCTTGGCCCTCCCACAGCTAACACCCAGGGCTTGTCACGGCCTGCCTGCAGTGGTTGCCTGAATTAGTGGGGATTCGATTGCCCGTTGCCCGAGCACAGGAAGCATCGAGCTGTTCAGGCTACACGTCGCCCCGCGCAAACACCCTTGGATCAACACCCAAATGGAGACATGGGGATCCTCGCCGGGAAGGCACAGCTCCCTCTCTGCCTGATCATGCCTCACCTATGCGCCTGGTTACTCTGAGCTGCTCTGGCTTCCTCCTCCGTTGAGCCCTCTAACTGGCGACTCGCTGCTTCTGACCTATGCAGAAATTAAAGGCGAGGATGCTCAGTGTCGGTTACAGTGCATACGGCTCTCGAGGCTTGTCTTAATTAGCACTAAAGCAGCACTGCCCTAACGCAGGGCTGCAGGATGAACCATAGAATCATTTAGGTTGGAAAAGACCCTTCATCGAGTCCAACCATTAACCTAACACTGCCAAGTCCACCACTAAACCACAGTGCTTAAGGGAAAAAGAAGTGCCCCTCTCAAATGGAGGGGATCACCCTCTGGAACCCCTTGCCGCAGGATGCCGGTCAGCAGCTTCCATTCCCAGTGGCACGTGCCGATGTTTAGGTGTCCCCAACGCCGGCACGCTTCTGCCAGAGGTTAATGACAGAGCTGGGCTGAGGACCAGGGGAATCCCAGCCTCGCGAGGGCACCCACGCCTGCACGGTATCGCTTACGCCACCGCGGAGAGCACGTCTTCGACACACAGGTTGCACACCGCAAACAGAGGCACGTGGCAACATTTCTGAGGCAGGCGTGAGGCCGTGCTGCAAAAGAGAGACCGAGGTTGTCGTAGCACGGACGAGAGGGCTGAACTCGTGTTCCTAAGGCAGATCTGGAGCGGGACAGATCCTGCCTTCCCCCTGTGCCCACCCCTAGAAGGGCAGAAGCTCTAACTGGAGAGATTATGGGTGAGATCAACTCCCCTTTGTACAGGACTACAGAGATTTAAGAAGTTACCTCCCCAAAGGGTGGTAAACACCCCGCTAGACTGGCTGATTCTGTAGAGAGAAAAAAAAACACCCTTTTAAATCCATTCAACAAGTTACGTTGTTATAAATCGATAATCCACAAATAGCTTTCATCCTTTTCAGGGTTTGCAGAGCTTTATGGACCTCCCAGTTGCAAAAGTGGATTTAAGCCTCTGACAACAGATCCGATGTAGGGAGCTCTGATCCCAAGGCCCCACATGGGAGAACACACTGTTCCATTCTCCCTCCTGGATTTCATTACCACCGTCTGGCGCTGGCACACGGTTTTACGGGATGTTGGCAAAGGGTAACCACATGCTCGAGTGCCCGCAGGGTACGATAAGCGGAGTGCTCTGCTCCAGGGGTACCTGGGGCAAACACAGATCAGGCTTTGCACCTGGGGAACCACTTGGGACTCAACCCAACTGTGCAGCAGGTTTGATCTTACCTACCAGAACCCGTGTTTTTACCAAGAAGGGTGCTCAGTGCCACGCGGGGTAAGGAAGACACCATCCTGAGGGGTTTTACCACTGAGCTTTACAGCAGACAGACACGTTAGGGACTGCCGAGCCTTGGCACAGGGACACACTGTGTTACAGCACTGCATTTTAGGAGCAAACTGACTGTACAGAACCTCTGTAACCGCTGGCCAGCAATAAGCGTGAGGCCAAATCCCAGGCTAAGTCTCACTGAGCACACCCTCTAGACAAGAGAAGGTTTCAGGCAAAGTCTGGTTCCTCCCCTCACCTAGACAGGAAGATGCCGGGAGCTGTTCTAGTCAAATCCTTTGCTGAGCTGCCAGCTTTATGCACTTGTACGCCCACTGACCTACGTAGAGATCGAAGGAGAGAGACCCGCAGTTAAGTAAATAAAAAGAACACCTCAGGCATGCTGACGTACTGGAAAGGAGCAGCTCTGGTTTAGGATCCCTACCAAGAAGTTTCATGTTTTACAGAGGGAGTAAGAGGTGTTAATTACAATTGCATCTTGTTCTCCTGCAGCTCAGGAGAGAGCGGACACTTGGATCAGTGCCACTGCACAGGCAGTGGGTCAGGAATGGGGAAAATAGTTTCCGATCGCTTCCAGGAAGAGAAGTTAACACCTCAGAACAACTTCTATGAAAGGGATCGTCCTCTGACCACAGCTCCTCCTCATCCCTGCTAGTCTTACCACTTCAGCAAGAAATGAAACATTCAAAGGCAGCCACCAGCTCCCTCAAGGCTCTCCATGCATTTCAGCTTCTGAGACATATCGAACCGCACCTGCACACATCCCTGCAGCCTCCTTTCCTGAGGAGTTGTAGGAGCTCAGTGCTAACCCAATCAGTAAGGTGCAAGAGAGCCCAACCCTCTGAAAAGAGCAGCAGGAAGGTCATCTTCAGCATCACGCATCACCACGTTAACGCTCTTCACATACATTTTGGCAGTGACAATTTCACCAACTCACTTTAATTAGCACAATTACCTCAACTCCAGAACAAAGCCATTAAATACAGAACACACAAGGAACTAAAAGCCACTGGGATCTCCACACAGCCCAAGCAGAAGTTGCAAGATCATGTCATCTGTAACGGACTGCACGCAGGAACGGCGATGCTCCCCCCTCGCACATGCTTGAACCGACAGCACTGAACTTGCTCAACAACACATGGACCACTCAAACGGGTATTTCTGCAAGCATGCCAAAAACCGGAACATCCCATAAAGCAGCACAGAGCCCTCCCACAGCTCACGAACCTGACTTGCAGGAGCCGCTGGCCTGCCATGAGCCAAAACAGCACGAGCCTTACCTATTTGCGGGCGAGTTGAGGCCTCCACTGCCCAAGGAAGAAGTGGACAGGGTTGTTGCGATGGAATCGCTGTTAGCTTCATCTACCGGCAGGGTCCTGGGCAGGAGATCTGGGCGACCAAGGTGGGAACCTGAGTTGAAGCACAGACTATTCCATCACCAGCACAAGCAGGATCGTGTAGCATGAGCTCCCACGCTAGCCACAGGTCAGGATCTATGCTGGATCCCACCCAAGACATCTAAGCCACCTGAGCACTGAGGAACCAGCCCTGCAGACAGCTCTCTGTTCCAAGTCCAAGTCTCCACATGACTGCCTAGTCCAGCTTCTCCCTTGACACAAACCCCATGGGCACAAGCTGTTGGGAAGAGACCAGGCACATGGGACGGCCACGCAGCCTCAGCCCACTTCCCAGGGGGAGTGTGGGCCACGCTGGATGCTTGGACGAGGCCAAAAGATCCCATTAAGATGCATGAAGAAACAATTCCCCACCTCCACAAGCTGGTCTTACCCTGCCTGAGTAAAGACTGGCTTTTTACTGAAACGAGGTTTATCATCCTGCCCTGCATTTGTTGCAGCAGTATACTTGAAAACAGCCAAGCCTTTGAAGGGCTCGCTGCTCCTCCAGGTTTTCTCATGGTGCTGTCAAAGGCCATTTGGTGTGTATGATTTTTTGGCCCTGTCTGGTTTCTTGCACCCACAACCCCAGGGAACAGGCCCTCCCCTGGCAAGACCACAAAACAACACGGAGGTGTCTTGCACAGCTCAGGAGGCAGCAAGCTTTGGTTAGATAAATACAAGCTGAAAAATAACTTCTCTAGGCTTTTTTTTTTTTTCAGCCCAGGCACCAACCTTGCTCTATATCCGCCTCTGTCGTTACTTGTGCTTTTGTCTCACATGACATGTGCGACTGGGAAGGCACTCCTCCTTGACAGCTCCGCCGAGGAACTGCTGTGCCAGACCGGCTCTTCTTAGAAGGGGATGGCTTTACTTAGGGACAAAAATAAAAAATTAAAAAAAAAAAAAAACACACCAGAAAGCATTTTTCTAACACGTTCAGGAAGGAGTAAAAGACCCGACGCAGCAACTTTCCAGTGACAGTCTGGCGCGAGGGCTGTGCCCTGAAGGAACAAGCTGATGGATGAAACAGCTCCTATAAGGTCACATCTGTGAGGCAAGAACAATCTAGGAGGAAGGAAGGGGTGACAGCACAACGGACTTCCTAAAGCTCTTGCACGCTGTCACCCACCTTCCCAAAGCACAGCTGCTCAGCAGGGAGAAGCCAGAAACCATGGCAATTGCCAAGGGTACAGCTGCACGAAGGTACTTACGTGGTATTTTCTTGAACGCTGTGTTGCACATGAACCGTTGGAACCTTTCGGCGTAGAAGCTGGGTCTGTGCACAGATACAGTGTCCTAGAAGCCCAAGGGACAAACATTAACATATGAATCTGAATTAGTAAGCGATCAAGGTTAACATGAGCTTCTCTCAGGCTGTTAGCCTTGAAACACACGCTACGTTGGCCTAGGAACAGTCAGGGATTCTCACAGTCGCTCTCACTAGCAGCTGGGAGGAGCAGATTAGCTACAAACAGCAGGCATTATATACGAAGCAATCAATACTTGTTAATGAACAAGTAGGTGACCGGCATTAACAAAGCCAACATTTTTGAGAGTACCTAGAAAGTAATACTTTTATATAAGAGGGCAAACACACCCATGCCTGAGAAATCCAGGATCCTACGCCCAGAAGGAGCAAGGACAGCGGGCACAGTTTAACAAGACGCTGGTATTCTTTTTAGCTTGTTTAACAAGTGATATTTTTCTACTTACCCCATCGTGTACAAGGGCCTTCCAAGAGTGCTCCAGCTTCTTGACAAATCTGACAAAAGAAAGAATTAAGAACAATTTTCACACCAAGTCCCCACTGTCTTACCATGCTTGCTCAGCACGGAGCCTCGCTTCTGACCACCGTGGCACACACACCCCAAACACAGACTGCCTGGGCTTCGGCTTCTCTTCATTGTCCCATTTTCCTAAGACCGTTCCACAGACACCAGGGCTGATTGCACAGTTCACTCTCCAAAGGCAGTTTCACAAGCATTATCATCAAGGGCAGTTAACTTGCAATGACATTTAACAGAGACTTTACATACGTAACCCTCTGCACATTGCATTTTAATATAAATAGAAGAAAAGGTAAGCCTTACAGCTATTTTTCATTTTACAGGGAGAAGTGGTTATGGCCATTTTAAGCCACCACTTGTTTTTTCCTTGCCACTTCCTGCACAGTGTCTGTGTACAACAACCACAGCATACAAAAACAACTTCATAAGAGTAAATCTATTCTGGGAACATGAAGTAAATACAGTAAGCAAGACCCAGAAATTAATCCCAAAATGCCCAACTTCAAGAAAATAGAAAGAGGTTCATAAAAAAAATGTTTATTTGTGTCTTAACTATTTCTTGAAAGCCCATCTTGACAACCAAGCAGGGGCAGACAATGCTGGAAAGTGGTCACCCTTAGGTGACACAAAGCTGTTATTAAACGTTTCCTACCTGTAGGACTGCAACACATCAATGATGCCGATGTACAGCAGCAGCCTCTCCCCCTTCGCGTTGCGGGCCGGAATGCCTCCCATCCTGGCAGAGGACAGGGCACAAACATGAAGCAGGGCGTTCTCACACCCCACTGCCTCTCTCACACAGCCTAGCGTGGGCTGGATATTATGCGAACTATTTAACAAGCGTCAACATGCGGGAGGCACCTACTGTTCAGCTAACAAGGTGGGGAAGACAAGTCAGAGCAAAATGCTATTTCAGTAAGTTAGCTGAACCTCCTGAGAACTGACCCCCTTTTCCCTCTGTGTGACAAATTTAGTTGAAGATAAGGATTAATCCCGACTCATCCATGAGAGGAGACCAAGCAACTGTAAAGACCATCTACTACCATCCATACTAACACGGCAGCTGGACTTCATGGGCTAAGTCTGATCTAACAACGCACTCGCTATGCCTCTTAGAGGTGGATGGCAATAACTAGTGGGAGCTGCTAATAACCGGTGGGCAGAGAACTCTCAATGCCACCTGGAAGACGAGAAAAATCTTTTGTGCATTAAGGAAGGGAAATCAAAAGATAAAAGCACAAAATTTGACATCGAGACCTCTCTGCCCTGTGCGACAGCAATCCTGTATAGCCCAGTCCGCATCTAAATTAAGTCTCCATTAGCCAGGCTTAGGTTTTACCCCTCACTCCTCGCAGTATTTCATTGGGAACAGCAACACTGACACAGACTTACTGGTCATCTGTTTCTATAGTGCCACCTCGCCGGGCCTCTCCTTGGATGGATTCCATGGCTGTCGAGTAGAGAGCCTTTTGGGCAGCGGGTCGCCGCATATCGGTCTGGGATGTCCCATCAGCCATCGCGTGCTCTCTCTGCGCCAGGTCAATGTTATGGATAGCAACAAGCAAACTGTAATCCATGATTTTAAAGCTCTGCAGGACCTGGGCAAAAAGTCAACAAAGGCTCACTCATTATTGCAAGCCCAGTGAAACTGTTAGAGCAGACATTTTCAGAAGCGTAGTCAGCATTTCTGCCTAGAGCCCTGAGCATATTGAGGGGATGGCTTTTAATCCACAGCTCGTGCACAGTCAGCGCATCTACAGTCGCCAAAGGGAGTTAGAGGAAAGCCATCAGTAGTACTCCTGTGCAGACGGGGACCCAAGCCAGGGGAGAACACTGTCTTTCGCACGGCTGCCCAAAGGCGGTTGACAACTTGAGACCAGACTCAGTCAAGCATCCCGCCCCTCTCCCGGGATCCTGCCCTGCTCCAGAGCTCAACCTTGGCAGAGGGTGCTTCCTCCACCTCTAGAGGCAGTGCTGGGTTTAATTCAGGTTGGAAGTATTGAATGACACTGGGGTCCAGGTCCTGCTTCTTGTCCACACCATCACCAAAAAAACAGGTTCTCTAAGTCAACACCCCAGGCAGAGGCTACAAAGGTGGCAGCTCCAATCTCCTTTTCCTGGGACAGGCTCAGAAAAAGGAAATAACTCTCCACGCCACCCTTCACCCTTCCACTTACCAAACAGTCTCTCTGTAATGTTTTGCACAGAGCATTATACATGTCAGAGTCTAAGAAGAGGCCATCAGGGATGTCCTGCATAAAATCCAAGTCCTTGTATGTTGGGAAGACCTTCTCCCGTTCCTTCTGGGATGCTCGGCGTTTGTAGGTGGAGCCCTTCAGGTCATATTTCAGGTGCATTTTGACAGAGCGCGGCAGTAGGTTGTTCATCACGACAATGCGAATGTTTTTGCCTCCGGCCTGGACACAGTACAAGCCGTAAAACTTTGGCAGCAGCGTCCTTGGGTTCTGGTTCAAATTCTGAAATGCCAAAGACAAAGAAATACCTTCAAAGCCAGTCTGGTTATTCGCGTGCCAGTTAGAGGAGTTCTTTGCTCTTTCCTGTACTTCTATATTGAAATGGAGCTGGCAATGATTCAAAGCCATTGCCAAAGAAGCCAAGAGACAAGGGCAGGTGAACAGAGGGAACAGATGGGTGATGTCTACAGTTGTTAATAACCTCTCTGCAAAGCTGAATGGGTCAGGCAAAGATTGCAGGAAGGAAGGAGTTTGCTGTTCATTCACACAGAAGGTAAGCTGGGGAGGCTTCAGAGCAAAGGAAGATCTTGTGCTTAGCCTTTCTGGATTTGGCACTTAGGTCAAGCTAAATGCATCAGGATAGAGACGGATCTAAACTGTCGCAGCTGCAGAAGGCACTAGACAGAATTTTGGAGAAAAACGATGTGGTTCTGGGATATAATCACAGCAAAAATATTTGCGGGTTCAGAAGCAGTTTAAGGAATTCAGCTAGTGACCCCAACAGCATCAAAAGTCCTAAGGCACTTCTGTATAGCAGGACGACCTCATGGCTAAATTCCCTTTCACAGAGGTGGTTTGTAAAGGCCAGGCTGGACATAAACACGAGCAGTCAGATCACACACATTGTGTTCAGGGTGGGACCTGATTTTGCTCCAGAACTGATAAAGCCTTTTTTGCTATAGCCACTTCCATAAAATTGATATGCCTTTACTTCCAAAGCTGCTGCTTCTATATATAGAAACTTAAAATCAGAGTTCTTCAACAGGATGCTTTATCTTTGCAGACAGAACCAAGTATAGCCCTGGGAAGGGAAACACAAGAACAGCTTTACAAGACAAAGTATCATGGGCATGACGCTGCGCGCCAAGGAACAGTTCACAGCTGGTCACGAAGCAGCCTGCAATCTTCCAAAAGGGTCCAAGTCACGAAGTTGCAACCCGAGACCCCTGCACCGCACACCAGGCTCGCGATACCCAGGTAGCTTGTGTTAGTCCATGACTGTCTTTGTCACTGGACAGTTGAGAGAGAAGCTGCCGCTCAGCTGGGGCACAGATCAAACCTCCACTCACACCCTATCAGGCAGTACATGGCAATATGTCACACCTGTACATTTGGGGGATCCTTCCCTTGCTTGCAGAGAAAGCCTCGCCCAAGTGACTTACCATGTAGTAGCCAGGCAGCAGCTTCTGTAAGAACTCAGCCTCTTTGTGCTGAA